TTTTTCAGCATCTGTTGAATGAACATATAGTTTTTGTCTTTTGTTCTGTTGATGTAATGTATCACGTTTATTGATTTACATATGTTGAACCATCCTTGAATCCCTGTGGTAAGTTCCATTTGATAATGATGTGTTATTTTTCTGATGTGCAGTTGGATTCAGTTTGCTAGTATTTTGTTAAGGATTAGGGATGTTAGCTTATAATTTTCTTTTCTTTCTTTTTTTTTTTTTTTTTTTTGAGATGGAGTCTTGCTGTGTTGCCCAGGCTGGAGTGTAGTGGTGCGATCTCAGCTAGCTGCAACCTCTGCTTCCCAGGTTCAAGCAATTCTCCTGCCTCAGCCTCCCAAGTAGCTGGGATTATAGGCATGCACCACCACTTGTGGTTTATCATTACACTTTTAAAAACATTTTTTAAAAATTAGGCTAAGGGTTGACAGTACACTATTTAATCATAGTATAGCATTCACTTAATGACAGGTATATACTCTGAGAAATGTGTCAGTAGGCAGTTTCACTGTGGCATGAATATTGCATATGCTTACCCAAACCTAGATGGTACAGGCTTCTATACACCTAGACTATATGGCATAAACTATTGCTCCTAGGCTACAAACCAGTTCAGCATGTGAATGAATACTGTAGGTGATTGTAACACTGATATTTGTGTATCTAGACTTAGACAAAGTACAGTAAAAATATGGTATAATCTTACAGGACCACCTTTGTACGTGTAGTGAGTCCATCGTTGACTGAAATGTTATGCATTGCAGGTCTGTCTACCTTTAAATAATAATCTGCTGCTTCAGGTATAGTGTAAGAATCTTAAAACAGTGTTTTCCCATCTATTAATCATATTTATTTCAGATTCTTTTTCTGAAATTTCTGTATTGTCATTATTCCAGGTTATCTGTGTGTGTGTCTGCTTCTGTTGTCACTTGACAATGAGCCTTTTGTTTCTTTTGTCTTCTGTTTTTTTTTTTTAAGCAGAGTCTCACTCTGTCACCCAAGCTGGAGTGCAGTGGTGCGATCTTAGCTCACTGCAACCTCTGCCTCCCAGATTTAAGTGATTCTCCTGCCTAAGCCTCCTGAGTAGATGGGATTATAGGTGTGCACCACTGTGCCTCAGTAATTTTTGTATTTTTAGTAGAGATAGGGTTTCACCATGTTGGTCAGGCTGGTCTCGAACTCCTGACCTCCTGATCCGCCTGCCTTAACCTTCCAAAGTGCTGGGATTATAAGCGTGAGTCATCAGACCCTGCCTCCTTCGCCTTTTCATTGTAATGTTTAATTGAGTGTTGGACATTGTGTGGAGGGCAGTAGGCAAGGTCAACAAACTTTTTCTGTAATGGATCAAATAGGAAATATTTTGAGTTCTGAGGGCCATGTGTAGTCCCTGTTGCATATTGTTCTTCTGGTTTTTACTTTTTAAAAATTACCCTTAAAAAATGTGAAACCTGGTAGGGTGCAGTGGTTCATGCCTATAATTCTAGCACTTTGGGAGCTGAGGTGGAGGATCGCTTCAGCCCAGGGATTTGAGACCAGCCTGGGCAATGTGGTAAGACACTGTCTCTACAAAAAATATGAAAAATTAGCTGGGTGTGGCCACATGTATCTGTGGTCCCTGTTACTTGGCAGGCTGAGGCAGGAGGATGGCTTGAGCCCAGGAGATTGAGATTGTAGTGAGCCATGATTGTACCACAGCACTCCGGCCTGGGAGGCAGAGCAAGACCCTGTCTCCAAAGAAAGAAAGAAAGAAAGAAAAGTAAAACCATTCTTAGCTTGCAGCCCGTACAAAAGCAGGTCCTGGGCTACATTTGGCCTCTGGGCTGTGGTGTACCCACCCTGCAGAGGGGAATGAGGTAGGTAGATAGTGCTACGCTCAGGAATGGCTGCTCCTCTTTTTTTACTGGACTGTCATTGTTGGGGAGTTGAGCTGGGTCTGGGTTTTATTGTTTATGTACCTTCTGTCCCGCTGGCTTCAAATTCTTCCAACCTTTCCTTGAGCTTAGGATGAGGGCTGAGTTGCCAAAGTGTCTTCACCAGTGGCTTTTGGACTCGCCTCTGTGTCTGCCTTAGCTGCCCCTTATCTTCGGCAGGTCTGTGCTAGAGAAAGTTTCCCTCCTTTCCCTTCAAGTAGTGCTCTAAGAGCCTGGCTTAAGCCGGGTGCCGGGCCTCCCCCAGGACTGTAGCTGGTTGCCGTTTGTCTTCCCTGGCCACAGCAGCCTTCTGATTCTGTAGGTGAGAAGCTTCTTGTCGGGCTTAGTGCTGTGGCAGCTCCCACTGAGAGACTGTTGAGTCCGCTCTTTCACTCTGCGTCTTTAAAGGTTTTTTTGTTGTTGTTGTTAAGTAAATGTGCTAAGAAAGAGGTGCTGATTTTGAGCCTGGTTCCAATTACAGTACTCAGTCAAGAAGTGAATTTACCTCCTTGTAAAGGCTGCCAGCAGAGAGGAATGGTGAGGAAAGTTGGCTCCACTCTGGTGAAGGATTGAAGCTTCCGTAGGGTTTGTTGTTTTAGTCTAGCTAATTTTTAGTGTTGCTACAATGTGTGCAAGGCTACCAGATTCTATGACTCCCAGGGCCATTCATGTGGAAAATAATGTGAATTTTGTATACCCCATGACATTGTGTTAACTCAGTGGCCCTGATAGGTGCTATGTGGTCTCTGAGGGATTTGCTGCAGTTGGAGTGAAAAAGTAACTTTTTCTTTTCTTTTCTTTTCTTTTGAAACGGAGTTTCGCTCTTGTTGCCCAAACTGGAGTGCAATGGCACAGTCTTGGCTCACTGCAGCCTCTGCCTCCCGGGTTCAAGTCATTCTTCTGTCTCAGTCTCAGTAGCTGGGATTACAGGCATATGCCACCATGCCTGGCTAATTTGGTATTTTTAGTAGGGATAGGGTTTGTCCATGTTGGTCAGGCTGGTCTACGACCTCCTGACCTCAGGTGATCCACCTGCCTCTGCCTTCCAAAGTGCTGGGATTACAGGCGTGAGCCACTGCGCCCCGCCAGAAGTAATACTTTTTAAAACAGTCTTTTAAGTGAACACAATGCTAGTGTTTATGAAGAGTCAAACTCTATAAAATAGTTGAAGAGAATTATTCGGACGCAAATAGGAGTGAGGTCCTGAGAACACATGCCCAAGGTGGTCGGGGTGCAGCTTGGTTTTATGCATTTTTGAGAGGCAAGAGACATCAATCAAATACATTTTAAAAACACATTGGTTTGGTCCAGAAAAGTGGGACAACTGAAAGATGGGGTGGGGGGAAGGAGCGGGGAGAGGTTACCAGGCTGTAGGTGAATTTAAACATTTTCTGATTGATGGTTGAGTTTGTCTCAAGATCTGGGATTGATAGAAGGGGAATGTTCAGGTTAAGGTGAAGATTGTGGAGACCAAAACTTCTTTTGAAGTTTTATAGTGGCTGCCTTTAGAGACAATAGATGACAATTGTTTCCTATTCAGATCTTAATCTCTTTAGGATTGAGAGGGTCTGGAAGAAAAATATCTAGCTATGTTAATAGAGATTCTTTACAAATGCAGATTTCCCCCACAAAGAACAGCCTGGCAGGGTCATTTCAAAATATAGCAAAGAAACACATTTTGGGGTAAAATATTTTGATTGTCTTCCTTTTCTGGTAATGCTATGCCAGAGCCAGGTTGGAAAGTCACGATTTATGATTTGTCGGTCATGACTCCCCAGACCTTTAGACAGGAATTTGGGCAAGATAAAAAAAATCAGAGTTTAGTCCTCACTGGCAAACATAGAAAGCCCTTATCTTTCTAGTTTAGCACTTTAAAATTGTATGATTGTAATATTTGAAGATGATGATTATTAGACCATTTAGTTTTTTGATGCTGCTTTTATGAGCTAAGCTTTTATATCAAGCGATGACTCTGTTTCTAGATTAGCCTATAGTTTTCTAAACTGTCAAACCTGTCATTTGGAAAGGCCGAGAACCCCTTGAGGGGTAGATTACGGTAGAAAATTTTATTCTAGGCCAAGTGTGGTGGCTCATGCCTATAATCTCAGCACTTCAGAAGACAGAGGCCGGTGGATTGCTTGAGCTCAGGGGTTTGAGATCAGCCTGACCAGCATGGTGAAACCCTGTCTCTACTAAAAATATCAAAAATTAGCTGGCTGTGGTGGCGCGCGCCTGTAATCCTAGCTACTCAGGAGGCTGAGGCAGGAGAATCACTTGAACCTGGTGTTAAATTTGCAATCTGAATGAAAAGACCCTCCCAACAGGCTTTGTGTGAGCAACATGGCTGTTGATTCACCCAGGTGTGTGTGGGTGGGCTGAGTCTGAAAAGAGAGTCAGCGGAGGGCGGAGGGCGGTAGGACAGGAGTTGCTTTTATAGGTTTCGGGGGGTCGGTGGTGGAAAGTTACAGAAGTTACAGTTAGGGCGGTTTTTGCAAGCTAGGAGGGGTCGTAGGGTCTGGAGTCATGAGGTTGACCAAGGTCAGATACAAAGTCCAATTGCCTTATCAGCTGAGGCAGGTATAAGGAGCATTGAAAGAATAGGCGCTGCAGGGGTTGACCATTCTTCCCTTTTTTGTGGTCTTCCAGTGACTTCAGACTTTCTAGTTCCAGGAACTCATCTGGAGTGTCCATGCAGGTCACAGAGGTTACCATGGTGTCCATGGCGCCATCAGTCAGCCTAAAAGACCTTACACCGGGAGGCAGAGGTTGCAGTGAGCCAAGATCATGCCACTGTACTCCAGCCTGGGTGACAGAGTGAGACTTCGTCTCAAAAATAAATACATAAATAAACAAAATAAAAATACAAAAAATTAGTTGGGCATGGTAGCATACACCTGTAATCCCAGTTACTTAGGAGGCTGAGGCAGGAGAATCTCTTGAGCCTGGGAGGTGGAGGTTGCAGTGAGCAGAGATCATGCCACTGCACTTTGGCCTGGGTGACAGAGCAAGACTCAGTCTCAAAAAACAAAACAAAACAAAAAAGAAAATTTTATTCTAACCGGAAGCATTGCCACTTTCCCCTAGATCCAGATGCAGAGGTGTGCCTTCATGTACTGAGGCTTGTCCAGTCTGTGGTTCTGGAACCTGAAGTCTTCTCCAAGTCAGCCTCTGAGTTCCGGAGCTCCCTGCCCCTGCAGCGCATCCTGGCAATGTCCAAGAGCCGCAATCCTCGCCTGCAAACCGCAGCCCGAGAGCTCCTGGAAGATCTCCGCACTCTGGAGCATAATGTGTAGGTGTGCTCGGCTACCAGGGTTTTGGTGAAAATGCTGTCCCTCATTTGATATTCCAAAACCATCACCATGTGCCATTTGTTAGAGATGGACACGAATTGATATGTATCCCCCATAACTTGCCCTGGAAGTGAGAGTACCTGCCGGCGATTGGTCAAGCTTGCCAAAGGAGAGGCCATGAACGAACCTATCCTTCTGGAAAAGTGGCCTGCGTCTGTGCTGGCTGGAAGAGGGCTTGCTCAGAGCAGCTTCTCACTGCTCAGCACGCTATGACCCATAAAAAAGCGAAGTTAAATAACCATCTGCCCCATTGGTCAGCATTTTTTGAAGATACACTTCCTTGAAGAGCAATTCATTCTCTCTCTAGTAATTGTAATTAATCCTCCCAAAATGCAAGTTTACTTTTGTGACCTTTCGATGAACCTGCTATTTTGGATGACATTGGACAGTTTAGTTGTATGTTTTTGTACCTCTTTTATTTTTGAGTACAAATAAAAGTCAGAAGAGTTGTGTTGCAGTCATTGCTGTCTAAAATAGAAAGTTGATACGAGGAAGTTAATCTTTGCATATTGCCATACTGTTCTTGGTTGGTGGAAAAAAACTCTCCTTAAGTTGTTCTGGGCTCTTGGCTATAAACTTAGAAGTCCTATTTTTCTTCTAGCAAATACTGTAACAACAACTCTTTAATAGATTAGAACACATGCAGTTAGTTGAGATTCCTTAAATGAAATGGTAGTTCCGGCTCCCATTTTGTGCATGGGTGTGCCTGTATGCCAGGGCCCTGCGTGTCTGTCTTACCTGCATACTGGTTGCCATCCAGCTTGTTTTGTAGGCCACTGGCAGAGAACAAGAGAGAATACACTTCATTTCTCATGCACGCCATGATGGGTGAGAACTGCCATTAGTCTTAGTCCGTTTTCCCACTGCTATAAAGAAATGCCTGTGAGGAAAGAGGTTTAATTGACTCACAGTTCACCAGGGCTGGAGAGGCCTCGGGAGACTTACAGTCATGGTTGAAGGGGAAGCAAGGCACCTTCTTCTCAAGGTGGCAGGAAGGAGCATGAATGCAGGAGGGGCTACCAAACACATACAGAACCATCAGCTTTCTTGAGAACTCACTCACTACCACGAGAACAGCACGGGGAAAACTGCCCCCACGATCTAGTCACCTCCACCTGGTCTCTCTCCCTTGGCACATGGGAATGATGAGGATTCTGGGGATTCTAATTCAAGATAGATTTGGGTGGGGACACAGAGCCTAACAATATCACCCTTTAAATCAATCCTTAAAGTCACATTGGAGAACTCATGCCCTCCTTCTCCTGGGCTGCGTCCTTCGGTGTGGTGCTGCAGGGCTGCTGGGCCCTGGGCATGCTGTGAGAGCAAAACAAATGCAGGCACACCCACCAGTGCAGCCCCGTCCACAAGAATAAACTGTTTTGTTGCATATGGCATTTCAGAGTAACTTCAGTTTTCTTTTAAGCAGATTTTTATAGGCAGTGTGCAATTTAAGGCTGAGAGGCTGAGTGAAGAAGTGTAGAGGGAGGCACAGTTGCTTGGATTTCACAAGCCGGCATATTGCGGAACACTAGCTCATCTGAGCCAGAGGAATGTTGCAAAAGGCAATTTAAAATTCATAGAGGGAGAAATTGATCCATCTGTGCCGTGTGGTTCTGTAGGTCCTGATTATTGGTGAATAAAATTGAGAATGTTGTGTTTCTATACTTAATAGCATGGTACTATCTTCTTTTCACTTGCTGTTTATTTAATGAGGTAATGAGGGATGTTGCCTCCAGAACTACAGGATGTTTTTCTGCCAGAGATGGGGTCAGCAGTGTATAGAGAGGAGTGAGCCTGGACCAGACCGTTTGATGTTGTGTAGTTTAGCTAATTAGTGGACGGATGTGATTAAGAAGGATCGTTTCTTTTCTCCTGATTTTGAGGTGCTAAGAATAGCAAGAGTTCTTACGAAAACTCTTTCAGGAAGAAATATATGACAAATCCATGTTTTGAATGTATATACCCGGAAAAGTACTTAAGGCCAATTTTAAGGAGTGACCTGCCTCTCTAATATTTCTTCTCTTCGTATCAAGGTCAATAGGAAAACATAGGTTCTTTAATTTTTTTACAACTAGTGATCTAAAGAAAACTACTCAGTTTTCAAAAAGGTATTTGTAAAGGCACGTACTTTGTAGTGTTTGAGATCTTGTGAATTTTAAAGTCAGACAAAGCAGTAAAATAGTGCATATATTTTGAAAGGTTTTATTTATTTATTTATTTATTTATTTATTTATTTGAGATGGAGTCTCACTCTGTTGTCCAGGCTGGAGTGCAGTGGCACCATCTTGGCTCACTGCAGCCTCTGCCTCCTGGGTACAATTGATTCTCCTGCCTCAGCCTCCCGAGTAGCTGGAATTACAGGTGCGCATCACCATGGAGGGCTAATCTTTGTATTTTTGGTAGAGGCAGAGTTTCGCCGTGTTGTCCAGGCTGGTCTCAAACTGCTGACATCAAGTGATCCGTCTGCCTTGGTCTTCCAAAGTGCTGGGATTACAGGTGTGAGCCACAGCACCTGGCCTTGAAATGTAATTTTAACAGAATTCCTCGTACATTGATTAAGTTAAAGAACTGTTTTTCTCCTTGGCACTGTCAGTTTGTATATAAAGATGTGAAACCTGGCAGGCCAGCGTCAGACTTGACTCCCTCCTTTCTCACCCTTTTCCCCACCCGGCTCCGAGCAAGCCTCTTGCTGTCTGGCAGCTCATTCACCGTCAGAGCTGCTTTCTCTTCAGTCTGAAAAGAGCAAACCCTTGTTCTGACTGACAGCAACATGGAGACTTCATGGTGGCTTTGGAGACTGTGTCTCCTCTGGCATAGCTTGGGATAAGCCTCATGTCACAGAGTTCTTCTAGTTCCGTACAGTTATATAGCCTGTGTCGCTCACTCATTCCAGAGGGTTTTAAAGTTCATTAAAGGACCAAGCATAGGCTCACAGGTCTGGAGCCTGAAGAAAATTAGACCAAGGCTGGAAGTCAGGCCGTGGTCAAGGAATTGGTGACAAAATGAGTTAAACTCTGTAAAATATTTGAATGGACTTATTTTGAGCCAAATAGGAGTGACCAGTGGCCTGTGACAGAGCCCCAGGAAGTTCTGGGAACATGTGCCCAAGGTGGATGGGCTACAGTTTGGTTTTATACATTAGGGAGACATAAGACATCAATTAATACATGTAAGATGTGTAATACATTTGTTTTGTCTGAAAAGGTGGGACAATTGGAACGGGTTTGGTGGGGGGCATGTTCCAGGTCTTAGGCAGATTCAAAGATTTTCTAATTGGCAATTGGTTAAAAGAGTTAAGTTATTATGAAAAGATCTGGAATTTATAGGAGGGAGTATTTGTGTTAAAATAAGGGGTTGTGGGGACCAAGGTTCTTATTATGCAGGTGAAGCCTCCAGGTCGCAGGCTTCAGAGAGAATAGAGTGGAAATGTTTCTTATCAAACTTAGAAGGGTACCAGACTCTTAGTTAATTCTCTCCTGGATCAGAGCAGAGGAAAAGGATTCTCTACAGAATATAGCTTTTACCCACAAGAGACAGCTTTGCAGGGCCATTTCAAAATATGTCAAAGAAACATATTTTAGGGTATAATATTTTGATTTCTTTCAGGGCCTGCTATCTGTCATGTGATGCTGTACTACAGTCAGGCTAGAACTTGGTGTCTTATTGCCAGAGAGTCCCAAGATCTCTGCTCTAATGTCTATATTAGTCAGCTGCACCTGAATTTCAAAGGGAGGAGGCATAATGAGCGTGTCTGACCTCCACTTCCCATCACGGCCTATACTAATTTTTCAGGCTAACTTTGGAATGCCCTTGGCTTAGAGGAGGTGTCCATTCAGATGGTTGAGAGGCTTAGAATTTTATTTCTGGTTTACAGAAGTTTTGAATAAAACTTGTAAATGTGCCTGCCCATTCCATCAATTCAGCTGGACCTGCCATTAGCTATTTTGCCCCACGTTAATATAAATGGAAAAGGTTGATAAAAATGTTTGCAGACTTACTAATTTTCTGAGAAGTCCTGAAGTTTGCTCTGTTTTCTTCTGTGGCATAGGTGCTGAGAATGCCTCAGAACTTCTCCAACCAGCATAGGAGCCTGAGCATAGACCCCGATACAGTGTAGGATATGGCATCCTGTAGGCCGGTGAAAGGCCTTCGGATGCTTTTGGAGTCCAGGCTCAGGTAAGAAGGGCAAGAGATAAGTGGTACACCTCTGTCTTCACAAACTCTCATCTTTAAGAGCCACGGCTGCCTCTGTGTTCTGAGAATGTATACATTTAAATTTCTCTCCAGATGTAGAATAAGAAATTGGAGTCCTTTGAATGTGCTAATTAGTGCATGCTACAAAATGAAAATGTTACTATCCTTTCTAATTTGCAATTTAAAAAGTTTTGAAATTGTTAAATATACCTAACATAAAATTTACTGTTTTTTTTTTTTTTTTTTGATTTGTTTGTTTGAGATGGAGTTTCCCTCTGTCATCCACGCTGGAAGGCAGTGGTGTTATCTTGGCCCACTGCAACCTCCACCTCCTGGGTTCAAGCAATTCTCCTGCCTCAGGAACCCGAAGTAGCTGGGACTACAGGCATACATCACCATGCCCAACTAATTTTTTTTTTTTTTTTTTGTATTTTTGGTGAAGAACCAAGGTTTCACCATGTTGGTTAGGCTGGTCTTGAACTCTAGACCTCAGGTAATCTGCCGGCCTCGGCCTCCCGCAGTGCTGGATTACAGGCATGAGCCACCACACCTGACCTAAAATTTACTATTTTAACCATTTTAAAGTGAAGAATCAGTGGCATTAAAGAAAAGTCTATTCAAGACCTTTGTCCATTTTTGAGTTGGATTGTTTGGTTTCTGTTGTTGAGTTACAGGGGCGAAACCTTGTCAGACGTGGGATTTGCAGATGTTACCTCCCATTCTCTGGGCTTTTTGCGGTCTGTTAAGTCCTTTGGTGTGCACGAGTTCATTTTGGTTAAGTCTAGTTTATTGATTTTTTTTCTTTTATTGCTTATGCTTTTGGTGTCATATCCAAGAAATCATTATCAAATGATTTGGTGCAAGGGCTTTCTCCTGTGTTTTCTTCTTTAAGTTTCACCTCTTTAGGTCTTTGATCCATTTTGAGTCAGTTTTTACACATCATTCAGCTGAAGGTTCAACGTCATTCTTTCACATGTGTATAGTCAGTTTTCCCCTACCATTTACTGAATTTTATAATTATTATTTGAAAATGTTATTACAAATGTGATTTTCAAAACTCAAACATTTATTTATACTATGCTTATATGCTCACCATATTTTTAAATTATTTAGCTTCATGAATAGCACCCCCCCCCCTTTTTTTTTTGAGACAGGATTGTGTTTTGTTGCCCAGGCTGGAGTGCAGTGGCATGATCTTAGCTCACTGCAGCTTCTGCCTCCTGGGCTCAAGTGATCTCCTGCCTCAGCCTCCAGAGC